CAGTGCTGGGCTGACAGTTGGACAGGATGATCCTGAAGGTATTTTCCAACCAAAACAATCCCAAAATTCTATGATTTAGCTTATTTCCCCTGCAAATTCCCATGGCTGTGGCAGACTTCCTCCCAACAGTGACCTCTGAAGGGAGAGTAACCTTCCAGCAGTTGAACTGAATGTGAGTTTAAAATCAGTACAGATAAATTCTATTAAAAATGGATTGAAAGCCTTATTTTCATTGCTAAATCACAGCGAGTCCTGTAATGAAACGTTTTGACTCGACACACTGGAGGTCTCAGACGGCAATTTTCTGAAATGGAGCATTTCTCTACGTTTGTCTTTGGCTTTATGGCATTCGGGAAATATTACATTTGCTCCATTCAGAACAAAATTACTTTTCAAAATGTCAGCCTGAAGAAGAGTTTGCCTGTGAAAAGTAACTATTTCTTCAAACAGTATCAGTTCCCTTAATAAAAGCTATTACCTTTCTCTACAATCTCCACATCTTTTATTATAGAATCAAAGAGTGGTTTGGGTTGGAAGGGACCTTAAAGCTCCTCCAGTTCCATCCCCCTGCCAGGGACAGGGACACCTTCCACTGGAACAGGTTTGTGCCCATCACAGCACCACAGAATTTATTGTGTTCAGCAGCAGAGCTGGTGGATGCTCTTAAAAGTGGTACCTGATGCCCTCACAGCAATGAAATAGAAATTCCTGTATCTCAGTGTTGAAGAGTGGGCCACAGCTGGATGCTGCTCTATGGAGAACATTTTAGAATATTTTTCCTCTATAACAGCAAAATACAAGAGTGGGGTCTTTTTTGGCCCCCCCCCCCGCCCCACCTCCTTGGTATGGTGGTTAAACAAAGTATTCAGAGCTATGCAGAGATAAATTCAATTATTAGCAAGACTTGCCTGGAGCAAACCCTGCAATTTCTGGACAGTGAGAGGACAGGTAAATGAGACTTCCTAAAACTAAATGCAAATAAATAAATAACCAATAAAGTCTGTGCCTATCTTCATCTCCATCACTTGCTTTTCCTGCTAAACCCTTGTTTTTCTGCCACTCTTCATCTGTTCTTGTCTCTTTTAGAGCTCTCGTGTGGGGATGTGCTGCTGGGTGGGGTCTGGTGCAGGACTGGGCAGGGGCAGCCAGTGGCTCCTTGTGCTGAAGGGAGAGGGGATTGCTCAGGAGGAGCCTCTGTGCTCCCTGGCCAGGGCTGCCAAGAAGGGCGGTGGGGTGAGCTCAGGGACTGTGCTCTCCAATGTTTCTCTGGTGAGCTGGAAGTTCTGGAAGATTCCCAGTGGATTATCTGGGTTTTAATCATAGAATCCCAGAATGGTTTGGGTTGAAGGCACCTTTTTGATCCCCCCCCTGCCCTGGGCAGGGACACCTTCCACTGTCCCAGGCTGCTCCAAGCCCTGTCCAACCTGGCCTTGGGCACTGCCAGGGATCCAGGGCCAGCCACAGCTTCTCTGGGTGACCTGTGCCACCACCCTCATTGTAAGGAACCATTCCCAAGGGTCTCCTGTTGGGAATTTTGCAGTCCTGCCCTGCACCCACACAGGGCTCCATCAGGGACACTGACCTGCCTGTCCCCAGGGAATCACCATGCTGACGTGGGATCTGAACAAAGCTCCTCACAAATCCTCTGTGTAAAGGCAGCTCTAGTGCAACATTTATAACCTTTAAAATTTTAATTTAAACATTGACAAAACCATGTTACTTTCTAATTAAATCCCATTTTCTCCCAGGGATTTTAATTTTGAAGTAATTTATCAGATTTAAGGATCCTCAAAACATTTTGCATGTTTTTCTTCCTAACCTGCCATGCCCACTGATTTATTTTCCTTATTCATTAGCAGGAGCATTCATTAGTCATTAAGTGAGTGGGTGGGTTGGGGGGGGTAGGAAATAAAAACGGTTAGTGATTATGAAAACAAAAAAAAATCAGAGCTGTAAGAAGCATATGTCGGGATCGTAATCCTGACACCTCTGTGTCTCAGCAAAGCAGCCAGTAATTGTACCATAATGAAATGTTCTTGTTTGATAACAAGTTAATTAGAGAAGACAATTATTGCAAACCCCGCTGACGCCCACGAGCGGCTCCGTGTCGCGCAGGCACTGAGTGACAGCCGGAGCTGTTCTCCGTAACCTCTGCATCCCAGCCCTCAGGAATCCTGCTTCCCAAGCCTGGGAACGAGGGGAACAGCTCAAAATCTCCCCCAAAAAATCGAGCAGGGCACTGACCCCAAGTTGGAGGGTCTCTGCTGCAATCCCAGGTGGAGTTTGGGGTGTTTTGCTTCATAGAAAAGGTAGAACATCAGGAAAGGAGAGATGGGAAGTGCAGGAAAGGTCTCCAGGAGGAAAGCTGGGGGGGAAGACCAAGAGGAGCCACCACAATGTAGCAAAGGAGGCACGGGGTGATCCTTTGCATGTAGGAAAAGAGGCAAAATAGGCTTAAATTGCACCAAGGGAAATGTTGGGTAAGCACTGGGAAGCCTTGGGAGCAGTAAGGATAATTAAGCACGGGAAGACATTGCCTGGGGAGATGTGTAATCTCCACCACTGAGGGTTTAAGAACAGATTAGGAACACATCCATCAGGAATGGCTTAAGTAGAGATGATCCTGACTTCAGGCATCAGTATGGTCTGGTTGACCTCTTAAGTCTCTCCTTGCCCTTCTTTCTATGATTCCATGACTGTTTTTTTTCTTCTCCCAGATGTGTAAATTTGGTTTTTATTCTGCTTGTAAGTCTGCAGGGTTTTTCTTGTAACTATTGTACACTTTCCTGCAAGATATGTCTTGAGATCACTATAACTTATGGCTTATGCACAAGATGTCTCAAAGCATGTCCTCCCTGCCACATTCCCCTTTCTCTCCACACATCCTTACCACAGCCACTGGAAAGGCAAATAGGGAACATGGCAGATTGTCCTTATTCCTTCCCAGATCCTCCTTTCCTCCGTGCATCCCCCTCTGTATCCCCTTCTTGGGCCAGACTTATTCTGTCCCTCCCACCATTAAAACCAACTAACCAAGCTCCACTTCCAGAACAAATGCTGTGGTCTGGATTGTAATTCTTGAGGTCAACAACCCTGAGGATACCTCCAGGGAAGACCCTGGCTGTGGGAACTATTTGCATGGTTTCAGGAGAGCTCCTACTTTATCCTGGTGGAGACACAGTGCTGGGAAGCAGTTCCTTTGGAGAATCAATGGAAGAGCCTGCAGTGAAGCAGGAATTGCCATTGGTTAAAGCACCCTGAGAGGTTCCTGCTCTCACTGCCTCGACTTCATGGGGTGGCCTGTGGCATTCACATTCTCTGAAAAATCCCTTTGCCCAGGATTTTCCTCCTGGGAAGCTGAGAAGCCTCAGAGAAAAGGAAAACAATTCTTATCTCATTTGCTTCTCCTGTGTTGTGCTCATGTGGAATGTGTTTGGAGATTGTTCACCCACAGGTGATTGTTCCATTGGGTTCTGCTGGGAGTTGTTTTCACTCTTTGGCCAATCAGGGCCAAGCTGTGTCAGGACTCTGGAGAGAGTCACCAGTTTTCATTATTATCTTTTTACCATTGAGTAAATATCCTTTCTGTATTCTTTAGTATAGTATAGTATAGTGTTCTTTAGAATAGTATAGTATCATAAAGTAATAAATTAGCCTTCTGAGAACATGGAGTCAGATTCATCATTCCTTCCTTTGTCAGGGCACCCTGCAATTACAATAGGGTGGAAGTCATCCCTTGCTCCATGTGAGGGCACAAGGTTATTCCCAGGACAATCCACTGAAGATTCCAAAGGGAACAGGAGGGTGACAAATCCAAAGCTGAACCTCCGATGAAAACCACACACCATTCATCTTCCAAACCTCTGATCTTGCTCTCCAAGAAGGACTGTCACCCTCGTGGAGCTGTTAAAAGCTCTGACCTTTCCCATCCTCCCCATCGATATCCTGCTCTCCACCAGATCTCTCTTGAAGCTTTGTTTGGGGTTGGTGCTTTGATCCCTCTCTGGTGCATGGCTTTCCTTGATGCCAGAAGATGCTGAAACCTCCTTCCAGGCCAGGGCAACTGCCTGGACCCTTCCAGCCCTCACTGCCAGGGCTTGGGGCTGCAGAAGGAAAGTACATCCTGCTGTGGCTCTGGTGCTGACAAAGCTGGAACTGGGCAGTTTGTAATATGGCTGTTCCCATGGGATCTCTCTCCTTTGGTGGCTCTTCCATAAAACAGCTTTACAGCTGGCCCACGATGGCTCTGTCCCACCACAGGCCCTGCAGTGTCCTGTCAGCAGCAGATGGATCAGGTTCAATGAGCAGATGGATCTGATTAAATGGGTGATCTATTGCTTTCTGCTGAGCAGGCAATTCTGCTGGGTAATTTACCCCTGGAGTGTGACTTGATCCCTGGAGCTGTGTTGTTCTCCAGGCTGTACATTTGTGTCAGCAAACCCCATTTGTGTTTGGCCACAGAGTCACTCAGCATTACTGAACTGGTCCTGGTGAAGCACGAGCAAGAACTCATCTCTGGTACCTTTGTGTCCCAAACTCAGCTGAAAATGCTGGGTTTGCCCAATTTCTGCTCATTTCAGGTGGGAAGCTCTGGGTTAGCCTGGGGATCACCCAGCAGATTGCTTGGGAGCTCTTTGGTTCCTCTGCTCTCAGCTTCCAGGGCTATGGAAACACCTGCCCAGGGCTCTGACTTCAGCAAGAACTCATCTCTGGTACCTTTGTGTCCCAAACTCAGCTGAAAATGCTGGGTTTGCCCAATTTCTGCTCATTTCAGGTGGGAAGCTCTGGGTTAGCCTGGGGATCACCTAGCAGATTGCTTGGGAGCTCCTTGGTTCCTCTGCTTTCAGCTCCCAGGGTCTATGGAAATACCTGCCCAGGGCTTTGACTTTGTGGCTGGATTTGCTGACAAAAAGAAGCTGGTTCCAGAGGCTCCTGCAGCTGCCACCTTGGCATTGTCCTCTGTGCTCTTCACCGCTGCTTGGCTCCAATCCAACCTCCTCTTCACCAAAATACTGCAGGGAACAGGGAGGTGCTCGGAGAGGGAAGAACAGAACTTGGCAGAGGAGAGTGAATCCAGAGACTTCTCTGGAGAGGCTCCAGGCTTGTGAGCCCCAGGAATCCCCCTGAGGGAGGGCAGCCACCAGGGCTGCTGTCACCTGCTCTTGAGCAGGTCTGGCCGTGGTGGCCCTGTGGTGGCACAGGCTGGCACCGGGCTGTCCGTGCCAGGGGAAAATCCTCCTAGGGAATTTGCTCCAATCTAGAGCTCAATTTCTTCTAATTTCTGTCAAATCAGGCGGCCCTTTTAAACCTTGCTGGGGAACACTGCTTGAGATCTGCTAATGGAAAAACTCCCACCGAGGCACGGGATTCTGGAGCTGGGACCCGGAGCTGGATTCCTCTGACAGGTACCATTGGATGCTAATGGCTGAATTAGCATTTCACTCTGCAGCAAAGTCGAAGCTATCTCTACAGGAACAGCTGCTAAACTATTTGCAAAGTTCAAAGAGGATGTATTAATTTTTTTTTTTTCCTTGAGTCACATTCTTCAGATTCCCCTGTAAGCTCCTTAGGAAGGGCCACACCAGCTGTTGAAGAATGAAGATTACAACGTCCTGCTAACGCAGCGCTGGGGATATTTAAGGTATTGTTATTTATTCCTATTTTACAGCCGCCCTGGAAGGGGTTAAAATGGGGAAGAAAATGGTGCTTTGCCGAACAGGTGTCCTTGAGCAGTACCCAAGGACACGGAGATTGCTAATCCTGTATTCCACAGCATGATCAAATCACCAGGCAACAGATATAAATAAAAAAAGGCAGGAAATAAGGAAATTTAGATACAAGTGTGTCAGAGGGAAAATGAAGATTCATTGTGAAGAGGCTGAGAAGAGAAGAAGAAGAAGGAACAAAATGACAAAGCCACAAATGATAAACCAGTAAGAACAAAAGAAAGGGGGGAGAAAAAAGCCTCTCTGTGAAATGCATGTCTGTGACAACAGCAGCCAAATCAAAGATGCTGCTAGATTATATGGTTTCTTGCATAATATGCATTCTGGTTCTCTCTCTGTGTTTGTCTTTCAGCTGGTGCACAGGGAAAAAAAAAACATATCTGAAATGGGACGTGAGCAACCTTTATTTTCCTTGTTTCATCAGGAGGAGAAAGCAAATTTGCTTTGTGGGAGCAGCAGCACCTGCTCAATGGCAAATAAATAGCTCCAGCTTTGATATTACAGTGCATATAATCATTAGCAGCACAAATGGCAGAGGATTAACCCCCTGTGTGCTGGCCAGGACTACCTGGCAAGGGGCTGGCACATCGCTGCTGCCAGCAGAAATGCTGCAGGAGGTCTGTGGAGAGGGGCTGGGGCTCTGGAGGGGGCACAGGACCACCCTGCCCTGCCTGGCATGGCTACAAGCCACCAGCACTGGGCTTCCCTCGGCCCTTTGGCCCTGGCACAGGGCCCACCCCGGCTCTGTGCCCCCACTGTGTGCAGGATGGAGCTGGGGGATGGATGGACACGGGGCAGGCACAGCAGGAACGTGCCAGGGGGAATCACAAGATGCCCTGGGTTTATGGACCAGCTCCCCTGGAACCCCCTCCCTGCTGCTTTCCCACAAGGTGGGAACCAAAACACCACCAGGACTGGGCCCCTGCTGGGCCCACTGGAGGGACAAGGTTTGCAAACCTTCTCTGAAGAGAAGCTCCAGGGGGGTAAAGAACTGCTTAGGAACACCTTGGGGCTGGCCCTGCACCTCTGGGGATCCAAGTGTGGGGTCAGCTCCAGAGCAGATCCTACAGCCTCACATCCACCCCTTCTCAAGCCAGGAAGAGAGGAACTGTTCTCTAACTAGAACTTTGGTCATAATTTAGCCAAAACACCCAGATTTGGCTCTTGCTTGCCTGCTGTGCCACTGCTGCTTTTCCCCAGGGTGCTTTCTGCAGTGAGGACATGAAGCCACTGTTGTCCACAAAGCCAAAAGCAGAGTCCTTGATGAAACATTTCCCTTCTGCAGCTTTTCCACCCCTTCCCAGAGCACAGTCCTGGTGCAGCCATGATGCAGGCTGGACTCCCAGGCTGCAGCAGGATTCTGCCAGTGATGCTGGCTGTGCTGCTTGGACACCATCCCCTCTCCAGATGTGCCAGGAGAGCCCTGGGCATGCCTGCTTGCCTTCTTCACAGGGAATGTGTGCACCACATCCTGCAGGAAACACCTACAGGACAGCCCAGGCACTTGTTTTCACTTATTGAAGGCATTTAAAATTGTTCTTTTCCTTTTTCCCTTTCCATTGCATTGCCTCATGAATCTAAAAAAAAGCTTCACCAGGGATGTTGGCAGAGGAAAGCAAACAGGAGCTAAATAAACTCTCCTCCAGCCAGACACTTCCAGAGTGAACGTGCCACATCACACAAACCAGGCACAGGCTCCCAGAGCCAAAGAGAAATCGTGTCCCTCCAGCCAGAGTTCTGGGCAGGGAGGTAACTGTTGTGGGAGAGAAGTATCCAGCTGGAGACAAAGCCAGGAAGTTAATATTTAAGCATTCAGACAAGGAACAAATGACTTAATTAAATCAATTACAGAGGGAGAAATGGAGCCACTTAGACAGCGTGTGTAAAGAGACGGGAGGCTGCTGCGAGCTCATGAAAGAGAAGGAGGAGGGAGAGTTAGCAGGGAAGATAAACGGGCTGGTTTAATCCCTGCTGTTAATTAAGAGCTGAGCGTTTGCACTGCGCTGAGTCAGGGTCGTGCTTCCACTCGGAGCCGGGCTCAGTGCCCGAGCTGTGGTGATGTTTGGAGCCAGGTGCAGTAAAGAGGGGCAGGCTGAGATGCTGGGGGATGCAAGCAGGAGGAAGAGGTGGCACAAAGCTTTTCCACACTCCTGAACCTCCCTCACCCTGACACAACAGCAAAACCCAAGCCCCTATCCTGCAGCTTTGCAGGGCTGGGGTCACCCTCCTGACCTTCCTCCCCTCTTCAGAGGAGGAATTTCTGCCTGCGTGATCCTACAGTGATCCACCCAAGGAGGAGAAAAGGGAGCAGCAAAAGAGCTTTCATCCCTGAGATCCTCTGCTCTTACTCCTGACTCAGTGTGGGGTGGAAATCAAGGTTCTATCCCAGCAGAACTTCCAGTTAAATGGCTTTTTCCCTCCCTGCTGCTCTCTCCCCCAGTGCTGGCCATGGACACCCAGCTGGAGCCGTGGCCAGGCTCCAGGAGAAGTGCTCCCAGCTAAAGCCTGTTTGGGTGCAGGACCCATCACACACCTTGTCAGATCTCCTCTGCCTGACAAACAGCCATCCTTGCTCTGGGAAGAGTTCCCTGGGGTTCCCTCCTTAGGCAAGGAGCAGTTACAGGCTTTTGTAACTGACTCAGCAGCAGCCACGGAGGGAAAGCAGGAGCTGGAATTCTCCACCTGAAGCAGACAAAGTGGCTGACAGCTTTGGGGCAGCAAGGTTTCCTCTGTGAGGCCACTTCAGAAATCTCCTTCTGAAGCTTTTAAAGCCTGAATGCTGGGTTTGCAGCCAGCAGCTCAGGGAGTTAATAGTGTTTAGCCTGTTGGCTGTCACTCCTTGTACGTCAATAAGCAAATACAAACCCATCTCCCATCTCAAGCTGGAAAACCCCACGTCAGGGAAAGGCCACTGAGGGCTGTGCAGAGTATGAGCTTATCAAGAATAATTAGTTGTCATAAAAATTTGCTCTTCCCTACGCAACAACAGCAGTTTTGCACAGTGGGCACTTCAGCACTGCTCCCAAAAACAGCTTTTTAGCTGCACTTCAGCCTGTGGAAGCTCCTGGCCATGCCCTGAACACTCCTGCACTGTAGAAATGCTCATTTCAACAGCTGAAAGACAAAAATAAATAACTCAGTAACTCACTTGCTTTTGTTCTTCTCCCAGGCTGTCCCACATCGATGCCACGATTTTCGACACGTCCCCAAAGGTGGCATTGGGGTTTTGCCCTTTGATGGCTGCTTGTGTGTCCCTGAAAAACAGGGCATAGGCTGACACGGGCTTCTGGGGCTCATTGGGGTCCTTCTTCTTCTTCTTCTTTTGGCTTTTGGGCTTTTTACCCAGGTCTGTTGAGGGTCTTTTCTCTCCAGTAGCCTGCAAAACCAAGAGATGAAGCTTAGCTAAGGTCGGATGCCAGCCCCTGCTACAGCTGCTGAGCCAAGGAGATGAGAGAGGAAATGGGAAGTGGAGATGTCTCAGCATGGAGAGGGGGGCAGCAGCCCTGGGGGTCTCTTTGTCCCCCAGGAGCCTCTTGGATCATGGCACAAACTGCTGGTGGGTGCCTGAGCCTGCTTTGGTGCCTCCTCTCAGACCAGCTCACAGCTTGGGTTCATCCCTTTGCCCCTGCTCCAAATCTGGAGCTTTCCAGTCCTCAGTCACTCTCCTTCCCCACCCTCCTCCCCAGCTCACTCACTCCTTGATCCTTTTCTGGAATCTCTCCACATGCCTTGCTTCCCAGCTAGATTGCTTTAGCAGTCCATGAATTTCCCAAACTTGGCTTCCACATGGTTTCTGATTTCCACCTCACTAAGCCCCCTTTGCATCTGCTCCTGACTTCCCTCACCTCCCCATTCCAGGAGGGTGTGAGCACTGACCAAGCAACACCAGCATCACATTAAACATCATACCAGGGCCATCCAAAATTTGCTCCATCCTGCTAACATATCCAGAAAACCATCCAGGAACTGAACTGTTTTAAACACACCAATTAAATGCTTTGGCTGTGCTGTTCACTCCTCCAACTGATCTGGGCACAGCTGGTGAGAGGAATGTGTCACACTCAGTGCCAGGGGCTGCTGGAGCTCAGGGGAGAAGGGCACAGGGAACAGGAGCTGGCCTTGGTGGCTGCTCAGCAAGAGATGCTGCCACTGGGCTGGGGAGTGAAACAGCAGGGCTGGAAACGGGGATGCTTCCACTGAAGGCAGCAGGGAAAGAAGATCCTGATCAGTCTCCCTTGGCATGCCCTGTGCAGGAAAAGTTCCTTCCCCCAGAGGGGCTGGCACTGCCCAGGCTCCCCAGGGAATGGGCACGGCCCCGAGGCTGCCAGAGCTCCAGGAGCGTTGGGACAGCGCTGCCAGGGGTGCCCAGGGTGGGGTTGTTGGGGGGTCTGTGCAGGGCTGGGTGATCCTGTGGGTCCAGCTCATGATATTCCATGATTCTGTGAATAGAGGAGACCACAGAAGCCTCCATGGGAGGATGTGCAAAGGAAAAGACCCCTGGAAAACACTTGGATACCCATCAAAGCTCTCAATGCATTAACTGTGGCCAGTGAAAGCTTGCACTACAGGGAAGCACCATTACCCTTATTTCACAGTGAGGGAAAACCTAAATACATCTGGGATGGCAGAGAATGAAAGCACTGCTGGATCTCTGCATCCTTGAGGGCAAACAGGACCAGCCCCTCCAGCTGCAGCCCTGAGCTCAAGGCACTACCATCAGCTGCACAGGTTGTTGAATTACTTGGAAAGACACAGCTCTAAACATCAAGATCTGGTGAAAACAATGCCTCCAGCTGAGCTGGGGACAAACAGCCCCTTCTCCTGATGGATTGGTCAATTTGAGCATGTGCCATTGGTCAATCTGAGCATGTGCTTGGCAGTGCCAGGATTTAAGAGGCTTCCCTTCAGCTGGCAGAGGCCAGGCATGGGGAGGAAAAGGGCAGCAGCGTTCCTGCTCTCCACTCTGTAGCTCTTGACTGATCATTAATTTCAGTATCAGCGCAGTGACATTTGTCAAACAGACAGTGACCATTAGTGAATGAGCAGAGAGACCACAAAAATTGCATTTAATTTAAAATTGCCCAATTGGGCTTGAATGGGAGGCCTGGAGGTGAAAGGCCAGCTTATTACAAGGGAAAAAAAAATGCATGACAGGGCTTCAGCCCATTAGGGAGTGAGATGGTATTTTAACTAACTGTGATCCCATTTGACTCAGTGGAGTGCTGTGGGGAACCTGCTCCCACACAG